GAAGTAATCACAGTGACCCGGCCTGTAATCTGCCTTAAAGGGGTATACGACACACACCAGCCTCAAACGCTACATATAAATAAATGGATAAGGACACAAAATAGAAGCCACAGTCCAAGCAGCAAAATAAACGCATCTGCTATCGGTTTGCAGCTCCAGGTGCAAATGTTTACTCCTCTGGAGACAGAGAGCGCAGGGCTGGGCTGCTCCAAAGAGCAGCACCTGGGTTTTTCTTGCCAGTCACTTCTGCCTGCCCAGTGGCCTTATTATTCTGTCAGGGCTTCTTTAGAGAGCATCTATTCAAAATATGGCAGAAGTTCTAGAAAAAAGTTCTAATTTTAGTAAGGACCCTCCTGCCCCTAATAAAGTGCTCATCCCTGCTTTCATGCTGTCCAATTAGAGGCACGCCAGGGTGCTAGCCCCATAGAGTCAATAGAGCAAGCATATATACTCCAGTGACTGTGTCTGCCTTCAGGGGCTCTTGAGAAAACGCACATAAAAAGGTGAATTAAAACAGTGCCTAGAAGTCATCAATACTTGCTATGACTGTTCAGGTGGGACAGGTCAGCCACAACTGAACTGACACTGAGGCCAGGTGACGTCTAACAAACGCAAGCAGCTGCATTTATGATCCTTGGAGAACGTCAGCATAGACGTACAGGGGCGGGGGAACACGCGTACCACCCCAAAACGGGCATTTTCCCAAAGCTATGTAGTTTTTGTTGTTTTGTTTTTTTTTTAATAAAACAAGCATCACTTTCAAAGTACTCTCCATTACACTTAATACATTCGTCAAATCTGCAATTCCATTCTTGGAAACATTTTTCAAACTCAGCTGTTTGATGGCTGATAGCACCTCCCTTATTTTTTCTTCACCTCTTCTACATAGCCAAATTGCTGTCCTTTCATGTCCCTCTTCATTCCCGGAAACAAAAAGAAGTCACATGGAGTGAGGGCAGGTGAGTAAGATGCTTGGGGCAAGAGAGGCATGCTGCTTTTTGGCAAAAACTGGCGCACTGAGATGGCAGCACGATCAGGTGCATGGTCGTGGTGGCAAAATCAGCCCCGTCTGCCACAAATCAGGCCTTTTTGGTGGCATGCTGTTACAGAATCTTTTCAGAATCTCTAAATAGAAAGTTCCATTAATAGTCTGACCTGGTGGAACAAATTCCAAATGTACTACAAGTTGAAACATTTTCATCTGTTTGAGAAGTTGGTGGGCATCAACATTTCACTTTTTTTTTGAAACGAGAAAACCACTCCTACACTTGAGTTTTTCCCATAGTGCCATCCCTGTAACTGCTCAACATCACAACCGTTTTTGCAGCATTTTTTCCCCAAGCAGAAAAAATTTCACAGCTGTATGTTGTTCTCTTAAATCAGCCATCACCAAAAATTGAGGCTCAAGCGAAACGGTTTTTACGAGAAAAACTCAGTGACCAGAGAACACCTTCCTAGGCAGTGCTACTAGCTGTTAGGCAGAGCTTAATTCTGTTTTGTTTTGGGGGGGTGGAGGGTGGGAAGGGAATACCCCCTTCTGTGCATATAGTTGTCTGACTTCCCCTGACAGTTCTCACACAGGGAAGTGTGCTAGGTGCTCTAGTCTGTGGGAGTCAATGAGGGCAGGCATTCCCAGCCAGTTCCCCCCAGGCCGAGCAATGAGCCCAGAGAGCTTAGATGATCAGGAGCAAGGGGGGGGAGGGGGGGGCTCCAGGGACATCCAGTTCCTGGTGCTGACAGATGCACTATTGTCATCCAACCCTCATAGAACAATGCGTGAAGCAACCTTTTCATTTCATCCTACCAACCTTAGAAGTTAAACTCTAACTCTGGAGGCACCAGGAAACGGTACCTGCCTACTAAAACCGTGCTCCTGGGCTTCCAAGAGCATCACGTTCTTGCTGGCTTTGGGGGGAGGCGGGGAATTTCTTTAGAGTAAATCAAGGTTACTGCCTACTCTGCTAGCCCTACCATCAGAACAGCAGGCCCCTCCCACCAATCAATAGAGAGGCACCTGGGTGAACAGAAAACACTTTCCTCACTCCAGGTCCTCGGCTGTCCTTCCTTTCCACCCACTCCTCATAGGAAGGGTGCTATTTATCCTAAACAGCCTGCCGTGTGTGGCCCCAAGGGCTACCAAACAGTTCTGTTTTTATCACCTGGGTGAAGGAGTCACCACTGCTTTAAAGACTCAGCAAATGGGAGCTCTTTGGCAGCAACCCTCAGTGTACGTCCCAGCCATTGCATCGTACACACCCCACCCACGCCGGTCCCTTCACACCTTGATAAGCCTGTGGCCATCGCTCTCGTCCAGCCTCCCACACAACACAAAGATGCAAGGAAAGCCCAGTTCTTCCTCTGCCTGGCCCCAGCTCTGCTCTCACACTAACCGTGGTGCGGGCCAGCTTCCCAGCCCCACAGAGCTTTCGTTGCCTCGTGGATGTGAGCACTGAAGGTGCTTGGCAACAAGTCTGGCACACGGTGAGCGTTGAAAAAAGCTTGGGGGTATGTGTGATCTCATCATTTTGTCCAGTATACTTCAGAACCTCAACCGTGCCTGTCTTTAGAAATAAATAAGTGACTGACTCTCAATCCAAACACAACTATTTAGGATTATCCCTGCTTTTAAGCCTTACCCATCTGTAATGCTTTTATCTCCAGCCCTTAAAGAACTACCTGCGACCAAGTGAGCCAACCTCCCACACCCTTGAACACATCTCCCAACTACACGTTCCTTACTCACTCTGCATGCAGCACTTACTGTTGTCCAACTACTGTCCTTCTGGTGTGCTCATCCTCCCACAGCTCAGGCATCCTGGGGAAAGCCCTTCCCAGTAACTCCATCTCCCCTTTAATGCTCACTGCACTCCCAGCCACCTAGCATACACTTCCACTGTGCTGCTCTCGACTGGTCAACTTCAAACTCCAGTCAGCCACCTTATGTAAGCTTCATCTCCTCTACTGGAATATAATCTCCTCCTAAAGGGTAGGGATCAATTATTTTATTCCTCTTGAGCCTCCCATTACATCCCATTTCATTCCTCAAGAGTCGTAAGAAGTGGAGCTGATGCAACTTTTGCTAAAAATACTTCCAAAAAACTTGCTAAATGGTCATCTAAGTGTTTTCTGAACCCAATTGTTTAGGTGAAGAAACAAGGTCTCCAGCATCCCTCTGGGATCTACCCTTGCCATCCTCAGCTGTGGTAGTCAACAGTCTAATGCTGCTTTTGTGAACGAGCCCCTCTCTCGCGTCAAGTCCATGCCAACTCAGCGACAAGACACAACTGCCCCTGTGGGTGTCCAGAGACTAACTCTCTATGGGAGTAGAAAATCTCTTCTTTCTTGTGGGGCTTTCGAACTGATGGCCTTGTCCCCCAGAGTCCTTAAAAAAACTCCACCAGCTCCAAGAACAAGCCTCACCAGCCTCACCATAACCAGCCTTTCCAGAAGCAATAGCACCTGGTCGGGGCTCAATTTAGCTGGGAGGGGTGACTTTCCCAGCGACGGCACCACAGAACCCCGTCCTTCTACTAAACCTAGTGAGGAATCAGGCAGCTCACATTCGGGTAAAGGGCAGCCCACGCAGAAAGCACTGGAACGGCTGGCTTTGCCAACCTCACCTTCCCACTGAACTCAACCACCTCAAGTTTGTGTTCTAACAGGCAGCACATGTTAACCTTAGACTCACTTGCCACCTGGAACAGTGATACTATGAAGGGTTAAATTTAAGAGAGGTAAAAAAAAAAAACGGGAGAAATAAGAGCTTAAAGAAAAATATTTTATTAGAATGTTAAAATGCCAAAAATCTTTCCTCAAATACAGGCCATTTAGTGCCTTGCCAATGAACTTATTCGTGTCCTATAAAACTAACATGACTCCACAGAATCCTTTATCCATCTGATCTGTCAGCCAATCAATTCTTTATTAGATCACTCCCAAATGAAGTTTCTTACTAGACTGTGGAGAACGAGGGGTCCTCGTCAGCTCTCTCCATTTGCCCTCTTGACCTAGACCAGGAAGCTTTAAACCACTGGCAAGAAAAAGACCACTCTCACATCAGCTCAATAGCCTCAGATAAACATCAACTTTACTGGCAAAATGTGCAGGTGGACGCCAACAGGAAGCAGGGGCAGACTTGACAGTGTTACAGCACTGAGGCTGCAGCACGACGAGTCAGAGAAGAAGGCACAGGCATTCGCATGGGACCTGCCACAGGAGCCACCGACCACAGGGCTTTAGCCACTCGACACAAGCAACAACCGGGAACCCGAGTGTGTGGAAGACACTGGTTTTTATCCAGCCAGCATGGAAAGAAACCGAGCAAGAAGGTAAACACCTAAGAGCAGGGTCCTACAATCATCAGAACATTTAAACTCTGGGTTAACTACACAAAACCATTTGCTTGTGTATTTCCCATATGTGCAAAGTGAAAAAAAAAATCGCTCGGACCGCCACAGCTGACTGAGGGGACATCGCCAAGGAGACATGCAGGCAGGGCAAATCAAGTAAAAGCTCAGTGACCATACTTAGGGTAGACACTGAGCTTCGCTTTTTCTCAAAAACAAACAAACACACAACAACAACAAAAACCCACCTTAGAAACAAAAAGCAAAAGCAGGAACCAATGATAAGGTTGGGCTGTGGCTGCTCTCGACTTCAGATACACTTACATGATAAGAATGGCGGGTGATGTTTGACTTTTTTTTTTTTAAACCTAAAGGTGAAAAACTTTGTTCTTTAAATCCCAAACCAGAGCAGAGAAACGGGAGTAAATTAGTATAAATGTGCATGAAGCAACATCTATAGGACATGAAGATTTGGGGGCGGGGGGGAGGGGAGAAGGGGTAGGTTTTTGTGTTGTTGCTGTTGGCAGAGCTAGGCAGTCTGAAAGAACCTCTTCCGAGGTGTGGCAGTCTAGGCTTTTAAATTTGCCAGGAAAGGGTATCACAAATCCCAAGGCCCACCACCTACCCCTTCTCCTCTTCTCCGAGGGCACCTACCTTACTGTAAGTCACTACTGATAGGTTGTTTGCGTGACTGCTGGGGGAAAGATTTACAGAGTTCTGTGAGAGTCTATTCTGATCTTGCTCAGTTTGGTCGGGAGCAGGAGCCCATGTGTTTTTGCTGATCGAGTCGAACCCGGAACCCCCAGGGTCTTTTAGGTTGTTTTCATCTGATTGTCGGTTCTTTTGGGGAGAGGCAAACGGGTTGAAGTTTCCTTCTACCTTGCGATGTGGCTGTGTGTTGAACTCCGTTTCAAAAGATGACAGCTGCTGCGTTACTCCCAAAAGTCCACCCACCTCCACACTGAGAATCACCCAGATGACATCTGAAACAGAAAGATAACGACATCAGCCCCAGGAGTGACTTCAAGAATCCCAAACATCACCCCAGCCACAGAAATACACACACGTCTACACCCACGTTAAAAGCGTGCTGATAGAACAGCCCTGTATGTGTGTCTCCATTTGTTTGTTTGTTTTTCGGTAATGTCAAGTTCAAACTCAGATACAAATTCAGCAGACTTCTGCAGTGAGTCATGAAACTACTTGTAAACAGCTTACCAGCTGACTCTATTTGGAAATCATTAATCCACAGTACAATTGATCATTACATAGACCATAGAAGCTATTAATCCCAGAATTACCAGCTTTAAAAAAATAAAAAAAGTTTGCATTAGTTTAACTCAGAAAACTTACAGCATGGCTCCTTCTCGAGTAAAAATTTTAAAATGCTTTTAATTACTAGAATGACAATTTGTCGGCTCCTCTCCACCCGCCAGCAACTTAAGAGTGACCATGTATTGTCCAAACTGGGACATATGAGAGTGAAAGAGGAAGCTACTAATAGTTACACCAGCATATTAGGGATAAGCCACCAAGCAACTGGAGACATAGAGCACTCTGGCTATTGCCATTATCTACTGGATCAAAATAGACTAAGAACTCAGTACGCCTTAGACTTTCTAAAGTAATCCAATTTTTTTTAATCACATAAAGAAATCCGACCACAAGTCTACCCTGAAGCCTACGAGATTGTGTTCAAGATGCGCCACAGGGCTTCTCGCCACAATTCAGTTCAAGAGTTCCTCCATTGCCAGGGGTAACAGTTCAAACAGAAGAACAGAGAGAGGACCATTTCCTTTGATACTCAGCACCTCTCTTCTGACAACAGTGGCATCTACTTCCCTGCTGGAAGCTTTCAAGAAGCAAAGTACAGAAAGGCCAAGAAACATTTTAAGTGTGTGAACCCTGCTAAAAACAAGCATGAAAGAAATTTGCCCCGTCCCTGAATAACTGTTAAAAGGCTGACAGGAAAAAGCAAAGGAATGGCATCAGTTAGCTACCTAGAAACACAGAAAAGTACAAATTTGTTCTAGATATTCCCTTGGGGTCCTATACCTGAAGAAGGGGTCTGAAGAAAAGTGGGTGAAGGGAGACGTCAGACAGCGTAAGATAAGACAAAATCTGGCTAGACCAGAGGATGGACACTGGTACAGATAGGAACCGGAAACACAGCGAATCCAGGGCGGATGATCCCTTCAGGACCAGTGGTGTGAGTGGTGATACTGGGAGGGTAGAGGGAGGATGGGTTGGAAAGGGGGAACCGATTACAAGGAACTACATATAACCTCTTCCCTGGGGGACGGACAACAGAAAAGTGGGTGAAGGGAGACGTCGGACAGGGCAAGATATGACAAAATAATAATTCATAAATTATCAAGGGTTCATGAGGGAGGGGGGATCGGGGAGGGGGGGGAAATGCAGAGCTAATGCCAGGGGCTTAAGTGGAGAGCAAATGTTCTGAGAATGATGAGGGCAACGAATGTACAAATGTGTTTTACACAATTGATGTATGTATGGATTGTGGTAAGGGTTATATGAGCCCCTAATAAAACAATTAAAAGAAGAAGAAGAAGGGGTCTGAGAGTGTCATGTAGCCCTAAAACTCAGTTCTGGGTTAGTCCTTTTAGAGCTGGACTAAGTGGTGGTACGCAAACAGCTATGAGCAAGAATCTGGTAAGCAGCGAGGCAGTGACATCTGCTGTTTACTCTTGGAGCCAGCAACTCCTCTCACCTCTAAAAGGAGGAGACTAAAGTCACTTACACAGGATTCTCTGGAAGGCCAGACCCATCACTGATGAATGAAAACGTCGGACTGCATACCAGTAACAAGCAAGCAAGCACCATGAAAGTTCACCTGCCTGGATTTAATGGTGGAAGCCTGGGCATGCAGCATGTAAAAATCCGGGACAGAACCAGCGGTGGTGGTCAGAGGGCTTGAGTTCAATCTGAGTTGGCCTACTGTCCCATGGCCTCTAAAAATGTTGGCCCGACAGCCTAGAATCCAGAAGAATATAGGTATCTGCTAGTTGGTCCAGCAGCCCCGGATCCTGCCTGGGCGGCAATCACCCCTGTGAAACACTGCTTTAGCCAACACAAAGACTGACGCCTACAGGATGTAGGCTTAAAGAACCACAAACCTGACAGCCTTGTCTCTTGCACTGGCTTTCTAACCAAGGCAACATTCACTGCTCATGTTCCCAAATGGATACACCTTGCTTTAAAGCACCTTTATTCCTATTTCCCGTCTTCCACTCCTCTCCCCCCAAACCCTTTTCTAAGTACATGATATGTTGAGCAAGCTCAGCTACAAGGTCCCATCTTTTATTCTCTCGGCTCGGGATACGAAATGCTGATGAGAAAGGGCAGTTTGCTGACAGCTGGTACCAACGAAGTACACCCGAGTGGCACCCTCCCCTTTCCAGGAGACACTGGTCGTCCAGGGTTACTCCCAGGATGGGTCACTGTGAAGAAGCACGTGTGCCTTCTGCAGCCTACCGTCTCAGCTACCTTGATTCCCCTCGAGACCTCACATTTCTGAATGGAGGGCCCCAGGCACAGTGGACAGGCATTCTGTAACCACACAGATTGACAAAACCAAGATGGACCCAGTAAGCTCAATGCAGAGAGCTCTGACCTTTCCTAATTGTGGTCAGAGTACCTTGGTTACTGAGACAAGAATGAACTGTTCTTGTCTTGCGAACAATTTTATTCACCTGTGATGATAAAATCACAACTGAATGGAATCTTAAAAACCACACAAACCCACCACCATCAAGTGATTCCCACTCAGAGACCCTACGTACAAGTTCCCAGACTAGACGATTTTACTGCAACAGGCGGCTTCATCCTCCTCCCCTAGTAGCCCAACACCTAACCCACAGAGCCACCCGAAGAGACATCAGCTTCTGAATAAAAGATCTGGTCCTGGATGTAAAAGTGATGAACTCAAGATCACACTTAAAGTTAGAAGCAGGAGTAGTCAAGATAGCGCCCAGGTAGAATCACCTGCCCAGAAGAGAGAGGCCTGGGAAGCAAACCGGAGGAGAAAGCAACAAGACTAATGGTTCTGGACGGAGGAGGCGGGGGAAGGTGAGCAGATAATGCCATAGATGGGGAACAACTAGGGAATTAAAATAAACAACAAGGAGGGTGTAGAGATCCTAGGGATGCTGAAGCAATCTAGCTGAGATTAATTACTAAGAGGCAGATGAAGGGCAAGTGTGATGGTGGGACAAGAGGATGGTAAAAGGAAACAGGAAAGATCTAGGAAGCAAAGTTATGGATAGAGGTATAAACATAGGTATAAATATATGTAAATATATTAATTCATAAAAATATGACAATACATTGGGGAAGTAGATGCACTTTGGGCCTCTGCTCAAGCCCTCCCTCAACGCAAGAAGACTGTTCTAATAACCCGGCATTCTGTGATGCTCACCTTCCCGACACAATCAACAAAGACAAAATGGGTGCATAAGCAAAAGTAGTGAAGAAAGCGGATGGCGCCTAGCTACCAAAGATATAGTGTCTGGGGTCTTAAAGGCTTGAAGTTAAACAACAGGCCATCTAGTAGAGAAGCAAAAAGGCCACATGGAAGAAGCACACCAGCCTGTGCAATCATGAGGTGTCGATAGGATGCGGTAACAGGCATCAGAAGACCCAAAACAAACGAACAAGGTAAACATATTGTTGAGAAAGAGGTGGAACAGAGACCCCCCCCAAACCCATCTGTAGACAATATGACATCCCATCACAGAAGGGTCACAAGGAAGGGATGAGTCAACCAGGGCACAGTATAGCATTGATGAAACACACAATATTCCTCTGGTTCTTTGAGGTTTCCTCAGCCCCCACTATCATGACCCCAGTCCTGCCTTTCAGTTCTGGATAGACAGGAGCAAATACACTGGTGGAGATAAAAGCTCACGACACATGGAATCCAGGTCGAAACAGGAACAGGAATGGCAGTAACGATAGCAGGAGGCTAGGGAGAAGGTAAGGAGAGGAGGGGAGGAAGGAGGAACCAATCACAATGATCAACGCAGAACACCCCTACCCCCAAAGGAGGATGAATATCAGAAATACGCGTGAAGGAAGACAGCACTTAGTGTAAAACATGAAAAAAATAATAATCTATAATTTACCAAAGGGTCACCGGGGGGGGGGGGGAATGATACCACAGGCTCAAATATAGAGCAAAAGTTTAGACATGATGATGGCAACATATGTACAAATAGGCTTGATACAACTGATGTATGGACTATTATAAGAACCCCCAATTAAATGATCTTAAAAAAAAGTTAGAAGCCAACCTCACAGACAGGCCTTGTTAAGTCTGGCCCTAAAGTAACTTTTTTTTAAAATAATCATTTTACTGGGGGCTCATACAACTCTTTTTATAATACATCCATTGTGTCAAGCACATACATCAAGCGCATACATACGTCCATGGTGGCAAGCACATTTGTTGCCATCATCATTCTCAAAATATTTGCTACTCCTCTTCCCAGTCTTCCCTGGCCCTCTGCTGCCGCAGCCACGAAGGTCGAGCTGTGCAGCTTCGTGGGTGTAAGATTTACCCTGGGCACGGGCGGTGCTACGCCAGGACCCATGGAAAGGTTTTCCAGTTCCTTAATGCAAAATGCGAGTCGGCATTTCTTTCCAAGAGGAACCCTCGGCAGATAAACTGGACTGTTCTCTACAGAAGGAAGCACAAGAAGGGGCAGTCGGAAGAAATTCAAAAGGAAAGAACCCGCCGTGCAGTCAAATTCCAGAGGGCCATCCCTGGTGCATCTCTTGCTGATTGAATGGCCAAGAGAAATCAGAAACCTGAGGTTAGAAAGGCCCAAGGAGAGCAGGCTATTAGGGCTGCCAAGAAAGCAAAAAAGGCAAAGCGGGCTTCTAAAAAGACAGCAATGGCTGCTACCAAGGCGCCACAAAGGCAGCATCTGAGCACACGATTGGGAAGCCCATGGAAGTGTGC